ATAATAATTATATTCATTATATTGAATTTTCACATTATTAGATTATTATTAATATTATTTTTTTTTTGTTCTTCTCTCATTGATAATATTTTCCTTAACCTGATTTCATTGAATTGTTTTATCATTAAATCATGAGTCATTATACAAAGATCCTCATTATTTTATTTAAATACAAAAACTCATACTATGATGCTTTTATTAATTTTTACTCATTAAATATCATATCATTGAATAATGATCTATTATAGAAAATTAACGTTTACTAATCTCATTTTATTTCAAACAGCAAAATTATGTTTAAATGTTCATCTACATTAACTTCAAATTATGATATATCCTTATCATCTTATAGAATTATTACTTATTATGCAATAATTCATGCTACTGAATTTTATTATTCAATGATGACAACATATATTTTAAAATGCATATATTTATTAATCCCAATTCAGTATATACAAAATTAATGTTATTCAAAATTTAATTCTATCCCAAACAACAAAATTATATTTAAATGTTCATCTATATTAATTTCAACGTATTATATGTCGTTATCATCATATAAAATTATCACTTAATATGTGATAATTCATGTTATTTAACTTTATCATTCAAAGATAGTAACTTATACTTCTAAAATGTTTATTTAAATGCCCATCTACATTAATTTCAACTTACGTAAACGTTTTTTAAAAATGAAGAAACAAATATAAAAAGAAATGAAAATGAAGATGAACACTCTGATGATATACTTGAATCAATTTATATTGAAAAAACTTCCTTCAATACTTTCAATATGGCATTCATCACTTGATTCATTACCATCAATACCGTTAAATTCTTCAAAAAAAAAAAAAAAAAAAAAAAAAAAAAAAAAAAATAATTTCTTGCTGCCTCAAGAACTTTAACGAATTAATATTCATCATTTATACAAACAACAATACATTTAAATATAAATGATGTACTATCTGTTGGTGATAGCATTTATTATTGTTTATCATCATTTATATCACAACCAAATTATCTTATACCAATAATTTATCATTATTTAACAGCTAATCCATGATTATCATCACCCTTATTATTATTTATTATTTATTCAATACATAATACAAAAATAGTAGTTGAAATACTAAATCAATATTAATTTCTTGATTTATTAGTTAATAATTGAATAATATACTCAAATTATTTATCAAATCAAACACAAACACCATCAATACAATGTACTTAGGATCAAAGACAATCATTAAATAATACAATGGATGTAGGCTCAATAAATTTATCATCACAATGTCAAATAACATGTTCGAATCCAAATGCAACATCACCTGAAATATTAATACAATCAAATAATAATCTTCAAACAACAATAGCATTATTATCACGTCGTTTACGCTCACCACCATGGTCATATACTTATTTACCTAATGAACAACATTGTACATTAATATTACAATTTCCACATTCAATTATATTAAAATCTATACAAATAATACCATTTACACAATTATCAATTAATCATTATATAATAATGAATCAATTAAATACAAATTTAACACAATATCCATCATCAATAATAGGTGAAACATCATCAGATGGTTATTATCTTAGACCATGTGGTTATTTATTAAATACACAAGGACAACAAATAATTAATTTATCATTAACAAAACCATTTGATATTGTGAAACAACTACGTATACATTTTTATAAACCAACTGATCATGATACTATTGGTTTACAACAAATATCAATACAGGGTTCTTATACATATGATCAACAAATGTTTATTGAACAAACAAGTCATCCATATCAAACATGAATATCAACAATATATGGTAAACTAAATTCTACATAATAAAAAATTCGAATACATCAATAATAACAACGTTAAATGACAATGATTATATTAAATGAATGTATACATCAATAAAGTCTTCAACAACAAATACAAATATATAGGATAACAGTCATCAAATATCAATGATATTATCAGATAACTATCGTTCACTTAATCATTATTTACAATGAATACATTTATGTTTAAAAAAATTCATTAATATTGAATGACAATTTATTTGAAAAATTTCTTTTTATACTTAAGGGGAAGAAAAAAAAATGATACAAGGTCATTACCATCAACAGCACATCATAAACCATTAGTAGTTATGAATTATATTAAAAAAAATGAAACGCTTATTGAATATTTTAAACAATTAAAGATAGGTTCTTTAAGTGTTGAATTTCGTAATGAAATATTAAATAATGGATAATTAATTAAATCAATTGAAGAATTAAATCAACTAACTCAACATATATCAAATAAAACATCAAATTATTTAATGTATTCATCATGGACTTGATTATTTAATAAAAATAAAATCCAAATATATCATCATTTACACAATCACCATCTATTTTATTAACATAATTAATAACACTTTCAAGAAAAATTTATTTATAAAATGTTGAACAAATCAAACAAATATGTCATTAATATCATTTTATTTAGCTTATCTAACTGAACAACGTTTTAAACAAGGTAGCCCATCAACAAGATATTTACAATAGATATTAAGTGAAGTTGTACTTAAACATGAATATATACAATGGTTAATAAATACACGAGATCATCCAATAAATATATGATCGTCCAATATCAATGAATACTGGACAATTAATGGAAAAATTGTTTGGTTTTAATTATTTACAAGCGAATATATGGACAGTTACAAATTATATTAAAAATAAAAATTATTGAATTAAAAGCATCAAGTGAACCAATAAATAATAATCATAGAAGAAAAATACCACGAGCTGATTTAGTTTCATTAAGATTAACAATACAAGGAAAAATTAACAACAAAATCAATTAATTCATTGTCAAATTTAGCTAAACTTCAAAAATGATCATCAAAATGAACAACAAGAAGTGAATCATCAATATCAAAGAAAACTTAATCAATAACACCTGTAGAAAATGGTACATTTTATTCTACATATTATTGGACAAAAAAGATAATGTATTTTACCAAAAATTACATGTTGAAGTGATGAATCATATTTTGATTAACGAGAATCAAGAGAATGAATTAATTACAAATATATCAATAGTGGCGAATAAGGGTGATCCAACACGACTTGGTATATTTGTTCGTGCTAACGGTCTTAAAATTCTTGCAAAACATTTTGCTCGTTATGATCCATCTATACAATCTTATGATGAACGTTTAACATCATCACCATCGTCAAATACAAATATATTCGATTAAATAAAGCTCTTTGATTTTTCATCATTAGTTTTAACATCATCATTATTATCAACAGATTCTTCAAATAATATGACAATGCCATACTATGTACTTATAACATCTTCAATATCTCTTGATGTACCAAAAATCCATCAAATGATTTATTAAGAAAAATATTACATGCAAGTATTCTATTTTTATTACTTTCATGTTTATCATCAATAACACGTCATCCACATCATAAACAAAAAGATTCAATATCAACATCATGATTTATTCCATCAACAACAACAACAATAAATGATGCAACAATAATTGATGATAATGAGGATGAACATTATGAAAATGATATTGAATAAATTGAATCAAGAACAACAACAGTACAACAACCAAATACAATTAATAACAATAATAATACAAATTCTAATCCTTGGGCTAATGGTACAGGTTGGGGTACAGGTTCAACACACTCACAATGGAAACCAGATGAAATAATTCAAATGTAAAAATTACAGGAAGAACAAGTGATTTACTTAGTTGATATATTTTATTCAATATTTTCAAATAAATTATCGGAAGAATTACTTGATGATAAGATAATTGTAATAATGTAGACATCATGTCTTATACCAGTGCTTGAATTATATCTACGTAATGATTCGATATTAGATATATCAAAACAAGACAATATGAATGATATTTAACCAACATAGAAAATTACGCGTCGGAAAAAGTTGTTCTCTTCATAATTAACAAATGATCAATAGGAATCACATAATATTAATATCTGTTGATATTATAAATAGCATGAACTTATACCTATAGAAGTATTACACAAATAATATTCTCTAACTTTATCGAATATACGGAACTTGAGTTTGAATATTAATGCATTATCCACGGTTATGAGTCCTCAAAATCATAATGAAATCGATTATTATTGTTGGTTACCTGGGTAGATTATTTACTGTTGTGTATTCCATATGTCAGTAATGTGGGAGTAAATCCGCCTTAATCGGTCGATCCTCCTCATACTAACATTAAAAACCACAACGGTGCAGCAGCATTAACAACAACGACACCAATAGCAATAGAATTGTTCTAAATTATGTATTTATTTATGAATTAAATATTTGTATCTTGTTGTACTTATTAATGTATTTATGTTTTATTTGTTTTTTGTATATTCCTGTTCATTTTGAGCACAATGCAACTCCTGAAGATGTACTCAGAAGAGTGCGAAAGCTTGAGAAATATTTTGTAAATTTCTGATAGAAATAAATGTTTTTTACAGCAGTTCTCTCCTTTTTTTT